GGAAAAGCAATGTTTTTTGCATCTTGGGGCCCTCTTGAGAGTGCTCGTGGAGGCCTCTTGGGGCGTCCGGGGGCCATCTTGGGCGTCTTGGAGCGATCTTGTGGCATCTCGGACCCTTGGTGTACCATCTTGGGGGCCTCTTGGGCGCTCCTGGCTCTTCTTGGGACTCTCTTGGCCCTTCTTGGGACTCTCGGGGACGTCTCGGGGCCCTATTGGTGCGCTCCTGGAGCGCTCTGGTGGCTTCTCCCGGGACCTTGCCGGGGTACTTTTCGTCCGGGGACCCCCAGGGGCCGCCCCGCGCGCGCGAACTAGAAATACTGTGAACCAGTTACCGGAGATCTTAGCACGCCTCTGGCCCGTTGGGCCGGCGAATTGTGAGGAGGAGGGGGAGGAGGAGGGGGAGCAGGAGGGGGAGGGGGAGGAGGAGGGTGAGGAGGAGGAGGAGGAGGAGGAGGAGGAGGAGGAAGAGGAGGAAGAGGAGGAGGAGGAGGAGGAGGAGGAGGAGGAGGAGGGAGGAGGAGGAGGAGGAGGAGGAGGAGAAGGTGGAGGAGGATGAGGACGAGGAGGAGGAGGAGGAGGAGGATTTCGATGCTCCGACATCGCCCTGGGGTGGTGCCAGTCGGAGCCCGCCCCGTGTGAGGCCCAGGGCCGCTGCGGTTTCTCCTCCCTCCGCCTCCGTCCTCATCCTTTCTCCTTTCCTATCTCCTCATGCTCCAGCTCCTCCTCCTCCTCCTCCTCCTCCTCCTCCTGACAGCCTTACAGTAGCGGCCCTCTAATCCACGCGGACCGTGCCTCTCCCCCGCCTCTCAGAAGGGCATCGACTTGCGGATACCGTCCTTGTACTCCTTGCTAAGGTGGTCTGAACGGGGAAGTGGTCGTGCTTGGTCTCAGTGGTGTAGCCGTTGTCCATTCCGTGCATTGCTGAGCTGGGTTCGATGGAGTCCACGTAGCTACTTGGGATAACGACGTAGTCGATGCGGTGCGGGTCTTTTTCCGAGTGCCACGCGTAGTGCTCGGGGCCGTCGCTGACGAAGGCGTCGTCTGTTGAAAGGCCGTTTGCTAGGAGGAGTTCATGAATTTGGTTCCCGTTGAGGAGGCCCAGGCGATCAATGGTCCCCCCCCAAGTGTAATTCGAACAGAAACAAAGTCGAAATCCAGCTGACCCCACCTGTGCTCTCGTACATCATTGCGCGTGGCTTTTTTTCCTTGCGGCCGGCTTTTTGGAATGCGCGGATCGCGTGGCTATGGCGCGGCAGTCTCTCGCGCGTGCAGCCAGCGATGGCATCGTAGCGAACGGCGCCGAATCGTTACGATCGCGTCCGCTTCGGGGCCTTTCGTGCGCGCTTCGTCATTCGCATGTTCGAACTTTCTCCAGTGCGCTTCGCGCGCGCCGGCCCTGGCGCCGACGCTGCCATTTCCCGTGATGAACATGCGGCGGTCCAATAACGTTGCATCCCACTGTTGCGGAGGTCCACATCGAGCCAACAACTGTCCATTCAAGTCTGTTATCATTTGCTTCCATCATCATTATCGAACTCGTTGTCGCCAACAGTTCCCACTTCTTCTTCTTCTTCACGTCGCTGGTACGTCCTCCCATGTCTGCGCAGGCCCAATCCCTTATCCCCTCCCCCCTGCCCTTGTCCTCCTCATTTTGTCCTTTCTCAATCCTCCTCCTTTGGTCCCTCCTCCTTTCCTCTTCCCGTCGTCCGTTGCCTTCCCTCTCGCTTCCCTCGTCCGTCCTTCCTTCCGCCGCTCTCCTCCTTCCTTCCTTCGCCCCCGCCTTCCCTTCGTGCCCTCCTTGCCGTTCCTCCCGCCCTTCCTTCCAGGCGGTCTCCCCTTCCCCCTCTGCAGCCATGCTCCTCCATCGCGCCCCCCCTGTTTTCCATGGCGCCCCTCCTTCCTGCGAGGTCCTATGAGGCCATGTCGGGGCCCTCGGGGAGAGGGCCCGTGGCTGGGAGTTGGCTGGGCGGCGGCTGGGCCGCGGCGGGGAGTCGGCTGGTATTTGGTGGTTGCGTTTTTTGTTGGTTGGAGGGGTGGCAGTTTTTCTGGGGGGGCGGCGGCTGGGCGGCGGCCAGGATTTGGTTGGGGTGTTGCCGGGCGGCGGCCGGGATTTGGCTGGGATTGTTGCCGGGCGGGGGGCCCGCGGGCGTCGGAAATTTGTCTGCATCGAAGTATTGGCGCGTGACTTGTTCTGGTCAGGGCGTTCGGTTTACTGATGCTCGCACGCGGCGCCCTCGTATCCTAGCGGGCTGCGTATTCTGCGTACTTCACATTGGAACTTCGCATAGGTTTGGCACTTGTGCTTCGGCTTCGCGGTCATTCTGCACTGTGGCGGCATCGTTGTTTCGACGTTTTCTTCTGCTTCGCAGTCGTGCTGCGCAGTGTGGCGGTATTCTTGTTGCGACGCGCCCCAGTTCTGCTTCGCAGTCGCGTTACGCGTGGCGGCGGCTTTGCGTTGACGCGCGTGCGTGTTTTCTGCTTTGCAATCGCGATGCGCCGTGTGGCGGTATCTTTGTTTCGACGCGCTGGCATTTTTTTGTTTTGTTTCTTTCCCCTTTCCCACGGGCGTGTGCGTGTCTGTGGTTATTCAATTGCAGTGGCAACGCCCTTGTTTGTCGCGCGTGGGTGGATGCGTTGCGTCCCCCTTCGTTCGACGCGGCTTTCACTCGCCGCGGTCGCCCGGTTGCGCGGCGCGGCGCAGCGCTGCAGCTTCCTTTCGCTTAGTCGCGCCACAGCTGGCGGCGAAGCTCCGCGCCCCCGCCTCGCTGCTTAGTTCGCTCGCGGCGCGGCCTTCACGCCGCGCGGCAAGCTGCGCCCTGCGAGCGCGAATTATTGAGCTGGGCGCTGTCCAAGATCGCGCCGCGCGGCTTTGCTCCTCCGCCACCTCGCATGTCCTCTTCCCTCCAGCCGTCCCCCCTCCATCCCCGCTCCTTGTCTTTTCCTCCATCTGCCTCGACGCTGCGCCGCCGCTGCGCCGCTGCCCTTCCCCGCGAGGCTGCTGTCTTCGGGGTCCTCTCTCTTTTCGGGAGGGCTATCCCGCGGCGGGGCTGCGGTGCGAGCGCCGTGCCACTCCCGGTTTGTCTCTTGGGGGGGATCCCTTCGACGCGTTCCCGTTGGCGTTTTCTTTCCGAAACACCCTTTTGTCGCCGATCGCGGTGATGGGGACGTCGCCCGTCCGCGCGTTGGCGTCGATGAACATGATGCTGATCTGGTGTTTCTCTGTGAGTGCCATGATCTTGCTCCAGAAAGTGTTTTTTTGTTCTCGTTGGCCTTTGCGTGGGGTGCGTGGGCAACCGCGAGCGCGTGGGCGAGTCCAGAGGCGTTGGCGCGGATCACTAGGATTCCCGGGTCCTTCTCGATGACTATGACGTGGTCGGGCTTGAGGTGCAGGTCTTTTTTTCCGCACTTCCCGTAGGGCTTGTTGAGGAGGACGTACATCTCGCATCCTTAGTTGTACCCCCAATGGGCGCTGGATCTAATGTGGTACCTGTTGGCGTTCGCGCGCGTAGCTTCCTCTCCTCCTCGGATTCCCCGCGGAGTGTGGCGCGGTCGTGGGGCCGATTATGCGTGTTGCCTCCGCTCGCGAGGCTTGTCGTGCATTGCGGTGGGTGAGCGACGTGCGGCCGACCTGCCACAGCGAGGCCATCTGGGTGCGGGTGGTGCCGAGCAGCGGTCAATTGTTCCTGACGTGGTCGGGCTGGCTGCCTGGAACGCTTCGAGTGCCGCGCGTGCTGGCAGTTGGTCGTCCGCGGGCGCAGCAGCCCGTGGGCTGCCCGCCAGCAAGAATTGTCGTCGCAAGTTTGCTCCGAGGCCGCCGCGCTCCCCGCCGCCGCGGGTCGAACGCGTGCCGACCGCGCCTCCGCGGTTCTCAACGCCGAGGTCCCCGTCGCGTCCGCCCGAGCAGCAGTGGGCAATGAGACGGGGCGCTGCAGCGACGCGTGTGCCACCTCGTTTCTGGCAGCGCGCCGGCGTCATGGCTCCGGTCGGCTCGCGTGGTCAGAAGCAGTCGCGACGGGCAAGGGCAAGGGCAATAGCGAGAGCAAGTAATCACCAGACTAAGCCCGATTGCGACAAGCCCGACAAGGTGCGCCGCGGGGGCGAGGAGGCACAGCGTCGGCGCGCGGCCACCGCTACGGCGCGCGCAGCAGCCGGCGACGACGACCGTGCGTCCTCGCCCGACAGTGCCGCCCCTGGCAGTCCCAGCGAGGAGGTGAGCATGAAACGTAGCCGCAGCGGTTCCTGGCCTTAGGGCGACTGAGGTGGTGGGCCCGGGGCGATGGTGCAAAAAAGAGTGCGCGTTTATCATGGCCATCCTCCTTCCCTCACCTTCTCCATCCTCCCCGGCCAAAGCATCGTCGCGCCCCACCTTCGTCCCAACTATGTGATGCCGGGGCCGTCCGCGCCTGATTCTCACGACAGGCTGTCGGACCGTGTTGTCTGCGGCCTCGGGTGAGCAAACATGCGCAGATGAGGATTGGCCAGAATCGCCCCACTTCCACTGGTGTAAGCTCCTCCAATGCCGCCCCTACGAGCACGAGCAACACCCCGACAGGGGTGAGCCCGCCCCCCGCCGTGCCGCGCGCAGTCAGGCCAGCCAGCGAGGGGATATCCCTGTTTAGTCTACAATGTGGCTGGGGTTGGACAGTTCTGGTTCTTAATTCCCCCGTTCCTGCTTCTCCGCCCGAGCTGTTCGACCGCCCGCGCAATCCCGATTCAAATCGGATGATCTGTCGCCGTTTGGCTTAAGGGCTAGCGCGTAGTAAACATATACTGTTGAGTTTAAACCCGCCTTCCACAGTTTATTGCCGCAATGTTGTCTTTCGTAAAACATCCAAGACCCGCAATGGTAGTTTCTTCTCCTCCTTCTCCTCCTCCTGCGCCTCCTACTCCTCCTCGTCCTCATCGTCCTCTCTCCTCCCTCCTCCGCCGCCCTTGTCATCCTCATTATCGTCCTCTCTTCTCATCGTCTCTCTTAATTATCTTTCTGCTGGTCGCGGGAGGATCGCATGCAGTCCTGCAAGGGGAAGCTCCCCTACAAGACTGTGGCGCTCCTGGGATGGAGCATGTCGATTTTCGTCAACAGAAACTATCCATGCATTCGGTGCGATCGAAACCGGCATGTAAAATCGGGACCGAAGCAGACAGCATGCCGACTGCCAAGCAGCAGGTCGTCCAAGCGGGGTGGGGCGAATGACCAGGGAAGGGTGGATCTCATGTCTGGGGGCATGGAAGTTTCCCAGGTATCATCGTTTTTTCCTTTCATCGTATTCCTTATTATTCAAGTGGCATGCGCCATTCCGCCAATTCCCAAAGGGGATACGGGGCGGCGGGGCGGGGGTTGGAGGCCCGCGATGGTCTCCATATGGAATGCATCGAACGAGAGGGTGCGGGCGGGGGCGGGCTGGGGGGCAAATGTGCCCAGTTGCCATGTGGCCCCGCACGGCAGCGTGTCAACGCAGGGGGGGGGCGGAAAGGGGGGGGGCTGGACGCCAAATAGGTTTCGAGACGCGTCGATCATGGGGGGCTAGCGGTCGGGGGAGGGCTGGGGGCCAAGCGGGTACGGTTTTCGCCGCATCCGGAATCGCATACGAGCATGCAGCCGGTCGGGGAGGGGGGTGGGAGGCCACATGTGCCCCAGTCTCCGCGTGAGGCCATGCTCGCCCGGCTTTCTGGTGCCCGCACGCATGGGGATCCGTCCAAGAGGGGCGGGTGGCGCCCGGTGAGCTCAGATTTTCCTTGATTCCACATGGAACCATACGAGGGTGGACCGGCAAAAAGGATTGGGGGGGTTCCATGAGCGCGATTTTTGACCCCGCAAGGGTGGGGGGGACCATCGGGGGGGAACAGTCTCACGCGCCTTTTCACCCCTAGCACGTGGGGGTCGGCGGATTATTCTTTTTCGTTTTCTTCTTTTCTCGTTGTCCTTGTCCATTTGATTTTTTTTTTTGTTATTGTTGTTGTTGTTGTTGTTGTTGTTGTTGCATTCTCTTCATGTCCTTCTTATTTTTCTCCATTGTTTTCATTTTTCTTCTGCACGTCCCTTGGCTCTTTTCTCGTCCGCCCGCTCGCCTCGGACCACGATGTGCTAACCGCCCTGTTCCTGGCCCCCTCTCCTCAGCGCACCCGACCCGTCCGCAAAAGACATCCACACCACCACCATGCCTAGCCAGGGCCACCCTGGGCCTTAAGATGGCGTGCCAGCCCTCCTGACCCGGCCTGCATGGCATATCTAATGACCTTCGGCCCATCCCGTCACCGTGCTTGGGTTGTGGGTCAGAGTCCAGAGGGATGCTTCGCGGGGTCTCTTAGGGACGCTCGCGGGGGTAGTTTTTGAGCCTCTTGGGAGCCTGCGGATGGGGACCTATTGGGGGCTTCTTGGGGCCTCGTGGGGGCCTTTCAGGGCCTCTTGGAACCTATTGGTGGCTTTTTGGGAACCTCTTGGGGGCCTCCTGGGGGCCTCTCGGGGCCGAGGGCTCGAAGTGTCCGTTCGGGTCCCCCGTCTGGGCCCCCTCTTAGAGCCGTCTTGGGGGCCTCTTGGGCCGTCTTGGATGCCCACTGCGACGTCTTGGGGCCCTCTTGAGCCGTTTTGGGGTTCTCTTGGAGGCCTCCTCGGCTGTCTTGGGGCGATCTTGGGGACTTCTTGGGTCGTGTTGGAACGGCGGGAAGCTGGAAACATAACTCAGAAGCCATAGGAAAATCACAGATTTTTGCCTCTTGGGGCCCTCTTCGGGGCGTTCGTAGGGCCCCCTTGGAGCTTCTTGAAGTCCTCCGTTGCGCCTGTGAGCGATCAAAGGGCGACTTGGGGCCCCGTTGGACCATCTGGGCGGCCTCGCGGGGCTTTCTTGGCCCGTTTCTGGACCCTCCTGGCTCCCAGAAGACGCACGCGACACACCCCGGGAGCTCGGGGCAATGCTCAGGAGCGCCCAGGAAGCCCGGGATCAGGGCCCCTCAGAACCTCACAAGCCTTCTGCCCCCCAGGGACGGCGTGAGCCTTGAGGCACTCCACTTCGTGCCAGAGGCACGGTGTCCCAGGGCCCCGGGTTCACCACCCACCAAACCACCCCAACCCAACCCGAAGCCCTCAATTTGCCCTCCATTTCCAGTGGAGGGGGGGTCGTGGAACGTTGAAAAAACACAAGGGCATCCGTACCCCCCCCAACCCGAAATTCGGGTGAAATTCGGGTCTTCGGGTTGGGTTGGGGTGGTCTGGTAGGTAGTCACGGGTGGCCCCAGCCAGGCGTGGAGGTGGCGTGTGGGTGCCTTCTGCGTGCCTTTGGCGACGAGTGGTGCGGGCCGAAGGCTGCCCAACAAAAGCGGGCTTCAGAGGTAGGCGCAGAAGGCGCAGCACCGGCGAAGCGCCAGCTGATGTCAGTGGCGACGCTGTTGCGAGGCCTGTTCCTTCCTCGTGCTTCCAGAGAAGGAGGCCCCAACTCGGGGAAGCCTTCCTAAGTCAGGAACGCCCTTCCGCCTTCGGGCACCCTTCCGTGTAGGGCTCTTTTGGGGGTGGGGTATTGTCAATCAGCAAGATCCCCGAGGGATGTTTCGACGTGCCCCCCCCCTCTCTCTCCCTCCCCTCTCTTTAGGCAGAAGCGCTGCTAGGCTTACCTTCTGCTCGGTGCGGGCAGCGAGACCACGAGGACAATGCCGATGAAGCGCCATGTCAGTCCCTTGGTCTGGGGCTGCATGAAGATTGTAGGACTCTTCGAGCTGCATTGCGTTGCCTTAGCGGCACCGTTCAGGTGGAGGTCGTTTTGGGCCATCGTGGGGCGTCTGAGTGGGGTCTGGCGCGGTGTTGTGACCATCTCGGGCCATCTTGGACTGTTCAGAACTGTTTCTAGGCGGGTTTGACACGATCTTAAGGCGCCTAGGGGCAATCCATACTAGTGGATTCGGGGACCGCCTGCGGAGGCAGTCGTTTCTTTTATACTTGGTTTTCTCTATCTGCGTTTATATCGAAGACGCCTACGGCGAGTCACCGTCGCCCTCTGCTTTTGCGGAAACGCAAGGCAGGCAGGGTTGGCACATAATTTGTACAGCAATCGCACAGTTGTGTTTGCATTTTGACTCCTTGAAGTATTGTCTAATCACTTTCGGGAATACAGGTGTCCAGAACGGGCCCTTGGGGCCAGCTTCGGTCATGTGGTAAGCCCTCGTGTACCAACACGAATGTGTATCCTCTTCTTTGCTCGACGTTTGTGGCCATTTGGGCTCATGCGTTCGGCCATTTCTAAATAACGGTTGGGCGCTGCTGCGGCCATTTGGGCCTGCACCCTCGACGCCGCGTCGCGGCGGAACGAGAAGTCCATCCTCGCTTGCGCCCGCCATGCCGTCGCGCAAGAGGAAGGCAGTGGAGGCCGAGGTGGACAACCGCGGAGAAGGCTCGAGAGCGTGTGTCAACGCTTCATATGACCCTCCGGGGCGAGGACCAGAACCGCCAGGCGGAGGACCACTAGGGATTTTGAGGGCGCGTGGTGGCGCGCCGTATGGCTCTCTGGGGCGGGATTGGGGCCGCCAGGCCGCCAAGCTGGCAGTCGGGCGAGGAGGGTTGGCAGGAGGCCCGGGGAGGACTCGTGACCTTTGAGTTTTGAGCCAAGACGAAGTTGACCCCCGTAGTCAAGGTACCCGACGGCACGCGCAAGTCGCGACCAATCCGGTCACGTGCCACTTTTGACAGAGAACGGTGCCGCAGCGTTTGTCGTCTTGGTTTACGAGGGCGGTGAAGTTCTGTTGTTCCAGAGCATCAGCTCGATCATCGCCCGCGAGCACGTTGCCAAGGCAATCGGCGGCGAATATCCGAAGACGTTCATCAGCAGGGTCCCGAACCCCTTGCGCAACTACCGCTACATGTTCTCCGGATGCCAAGGAGGCAAGCCACGCGGTGATGCGAACTTCTGTGTCAGGCGGGTGTCCAATAGCATGAAGGTCGGATGGTTTAACCTGAGGGACAAGTAGAATATGGAGTCGCCGTCGCAGCAGACCAAGTCCATGGAGCTCGCCATGGATGTGGAGTTCGCAGAGCGCACAGACGGTCCGGTGTTCCGGCGGCCAGTATATTTACGAAGCTATCCTGAAGGGCGAGTGTCTGGGAGTTGCAGCGGACTTCACGCTTGCTTTCGGGGGGATAGCCGCATCGTGTATGTGTGCCCGCACTGCAAGCCGAAGGAGTGGGCGCGTTGTGCTACGCCGGCGCAGGTGAGCGAGCCAGTGGGCACCACCAGGGGGCACTGGAGGTGCGGGAGAACAGAAGGTTACCGACGCATCGGCATCGTCCTCTCATTGAGCTCCATCATTGCGAATGGCGGCGCGGGGGCGGCTGGCGACAAGGGGTCGAGGCATATCGAGCAGTTTCAGGAGTGCAGCCCAGGGACCGGGCGGATATGGTTTATTTCGGCCACGGGGCCCAGGAGCAGAGGGGGCACACTGAGATTAATCTGGGCGGGCTGTAAGAGAAGACGCTCGGCGCAGTCGTGGGCGCCGTCGACTCCAGCAGCGAGGGCGCTCGCAACGAGCTCGTCAAGCACGCCCCATGTTCTCGGAGGAGAGGACCGGCGAGGACATGCCCAGGGATTGGAATTTTCGCTCATAGTGGGAGGGCGGGTGCCTCTCCGAAAACAACTTCGCAGGCGACTGCCGCGCCTTCTGCCGCCCCGAGACTGGTCCCGTGCAGAGCGAGGCAGGCCGCGACAGGGTGATCGACCGCCTGCTCCCACTCTTCGACGCCTCGAGCTTCGCGGGCAACCCGATGGCAGCCAAGGGCAGGGAGAAAGCGCTCGGCCGCGAGGTAAACCTTGTCTTCGCAGTCGCGCGGAGGGGGGGCGCCCGCGGGGCTGTCCCGAGCCCCGCCGACCGATGGGCACCTTCCCGCCTCGACAGCGCCCGCCCGTTCGCGTGCTCTCCCTTCCCGCCGCGGGCGGGGGGGCGTCTTCGACGGGGTGGTGCGCCTTCGTGGAAGGGATGGGCCTTGTGGGGCGGACAGGGCTTCGGGGTCGCGCGGGCGCGGCGGGACTGCTGGGTCGTCTCGCAACCCCGGTCTGGGCCCCCTGCT